GCCTCATGGCTTCCTCGTCTGCTTCTTAACGTCCACTCCAAGTCTCCTGGATTGCGTTTGTTCCAAAAAGATCTCTCCTGAAGGTTTCATTCCGTTTGGACTCTGTTTGATATTCCTTTTCTTCGAAACACTGAAATAGGCAAAAAAACAGCAATTTGGGTTGGGCCTGCGGTTAGTAGGTTAGTCCCAAAAATGATATAAAAGTGTAAAGTAAAGCCCATAAACATCCAAAACGGGTAATATAATAGCATGGAACAACCAAAAATTATAGATACATTGGAGACATATCAGTTAGCCCCTGCCTTTTGGGTTCCTTTTTCTGAAGAGGAGATCTTTACCTCCATCATCAAAGCTAATCCTAACTCTGCTTCCGGCCCGGACGGATTTTTGATTCCTTTCTTCAAATCTTTCTAGCCCCAACTTAAGAATCTAATCTATGCGGTTATCCAAGGGTTTTGTTTCGGGACGGTGGACATTTCTAGGCTCAGTTATGCGGTTATCTCCCTCATCCCTATGATTAAGGGTCTGGAGCACATCTCTCAGTTTAGGCTTATTGCGCTTATCAATAATTTTGCCAAATTCCCTGCAAAATGCTTGATCACTCATCTTACTCTTGTGGCTCATCGTACCCTCTCGCCTACTCAATCTGCTTTTGTTAAGGGGCATTTTTTTCTTGATGGGGTCCTTTGCCTTCACGAGATCGTCCATGATATTCACAAATCTAGTAGTAAGGCTGTCATTCTTAAGCTAGATTTCGAAAAAGCTTATGATTCGGTTAGTTGGGGTTTCTTAAGACAAGTTCTGTTAGCTAAAGGTTTTGATGGTGGTGTGGTTCATCGTATCATGCAGTTGGTCATGCGCGGCCACACTGCCATTTCGGTTAATGGGAAAGTTAGCAATTTTTAAAAAAATTCTAGAGGCCTGAGGCAAGGGGACCCAGCCTCTCCTATTCTCTTTAATTTTGTTGCGTATGCTCTCGCTAATATCTTGTCTAGGGTAGCGGAGGCCGACCACATTACTCCTGTTAGCTCCCATCTCATTCCCCAGGGCATAACCCATCTTCAATATGCTGACGACACGATTATTATGGTGGATCTCAATGATCATTGCCTTGCCCACCTGAAATTCCTTTTGCTCTCTTTCGAAGCCCTCTCTGGTCTTAAGATCAACTTCTTAAAAGCGAAGTCATTGTAACTGGTGTCTCGGATGACGAGGCGTTGTGTGTTGCTCACCTCTTGAATTTCTCCCTTGGTTCCTTTCCTCTCAAATATCTTGGTCTACCCATTTCTTCGAACAAACTCCTTGCTAAAGACTTTGCTCCCATGGTGGCCAAAGTGGGCAATCGCGTTATGCCCTGGAGGGGTAGATACAATACGCAGGCTGGTAAAGTTGCCCTGCCTGCCTTTCTTCCCTTCCAATGTTCCTTATGGGATTCTATCTTCTTTTGATTGGCACTCACGCTGGGTTTGACAAACATAGAGGTGCTTTTTACTGGAACGCGGCTGATAACAAACGTAAATACCGCATGATCAAGTGGGATTTGATCTGCAGACACAAAGGCCTTGGGAGGTTGGGTATCATTAATACTCTTGTCATGAACACATGATTGATCATCAAATGGTGGTGGAAGATCATGACCACCACCTCGGATAAACCTCTCTGGCTTAACATTCTCAAAGCTAAGTATTTCCCTAACTCTAGCCCGATGTTTGCTCGTGCCTCAAGAGCGTCCCAGTACTAGAGAGATCTTGTTAAGCTTAGACCTACTTTCCAAAGCCTCGTCAAGTTTGTCGTTCACAATGGCAGATCCACTAGATTCTGGCTTGATTGGTGATGCGGCTCGACCACGTTGGCTAATGCTTTTCCTATTCTTTTTTCTTACTGTCATGGCCCTGAGATCTCAATCTTTGAGCTCTCTTACAATAATTGGGACCTGCAACTCCGTCGCTCTCTCTCTCCTAAAGAGTTGGTTGACTGGCAGCGCCTTGTTGCCTTCTTTCCTGTGCTCTCGGAGGAGGAGGACTCGGTGGTGTGGCCTCATTCTTCTTCTGGTCGTTTTTCGTTGAAATCGTTGTATGGTAAACTTATCTCGGGGTCTACCACTTCTAAATTCAAGTGGATCTGGAGGGCTCTCATCCCTCCTAAGGTCAAGATCTTTCTCTGGCAAGCTTCTCGCGGGCATCTTTCGACTGGTGATCAGATCCGCAAACGCAATGGGCCTGGGTCTGATCGCTGTGCCCTCTGTGGGCTGAGAGAAGACACTATGCATGTTTTCTTCTCTTGTGTTTTGGCTAAATTATTCTGGTGATGTATCAGATCTTGGTTGCATGTCGCCTGTACACCATCTTCCTTCTCAGAGCTTCGTATCTTGGTTAATATTCTGGTTGGGGCCTAGAGGAGGATTTTCTGGGTGTGCTTTGCTGCGATGTGCTGGTCTTTATGGACGACTAGAAACAAATTTACTATTGAGCATGTTTTCGCTGCTAAACCTGCTGACTGCTTATTTAAAACTTGTGTGTTCTTGCAGCAGTGGAGATTATTGATTAAGGAGGCGGATAGGGATGCGCTTGATATGATGATTTCCAAGATCCGGGCTTCTGCTATCTCCCTATCTCCAACCCGTGCCAACAATTAGGTTTGCTGGCCCTTTGTTTGGCGTCTCTAGTCCCTCCAGCATGCGTGCCGTGTACTGGCCTGGGAGCCATGTATGCTACTTCTTCTGCTCGTTCGTGCTGGGTGATACTCTAAATGATGTCCGTGTTGTCCGTTCTGGTTGTTTAACTCTGCCTGGTGGCTTTATTTATAAAGTCGGGCCTCGGCCTTTTATCTAAAAATAAAGGAGATCTACAACTATTCGGCACGTTGGTGAGTATGTTCACTCTGGAAACAGACTTTCGCCCCATTTTATAAGTAAAGCAATGAGCACGTCTATACAACAAATTCAAGTGCAACAAAGGGGAAAATAGTCTGCTAGGGCAACAACACAAAGATGCCCAAAAGGAAAATAAAACAACAAAGTGGCTGGGAGCTCAGTAGCCCTTAGGGCGAGGCAAGTCGGAGTGCGGCAACAGTCATCGCGCCCATCATGAGGCCAAGCCGGTCATGATCCGTCTATCTAGATAGCAGATGTCAGTGATGCAAAAATGCGAGGAATTTGAAGCTAGAGTCAGATGCACTCCTAAGAAACACCTGCTCAATAATCATCTTGTTGTGTGTCGCCTGTAGGGTGCATGCTAACGCCGCAAACACGAGTCAGAACAGACGTCTCCTCCTTCCGAACTGGTTGGTCCGGGTTTGAAGGAACCTGGCCAGGTCTAGGGCCTCCCAGTGGGGCCCTAGATCCTCACGGACAAAGCTCCGAAGAAGTCATAACGCCGGGGATGAGAAGATGTGTGCTCCCATCTCTGGGACCACATAGAGGGGGCACAACTGATCCCCAGATTTGTGCCACTTGATCATCTCTGTCCCATATAGGAGACGATCCCATAGTAGTTGCCAAACAAAAACATGATCTCGAGAGGCAATTGTGCTTTCCACAAAGGAAAGGTCCACGAAAGAGACTACTGTCGACACAAAGAATGGTACACCTAGCCGAAAGAAAAGACCCTCTAAGGGGTCAACCGCCAAGATAAGGCGTCCGGATATCCAAGAGAATCAGTGGAGGGCAGCTCGCAAGTTATCCCAGTCCACGGTCACCACGGGCATAAATGTCCATCGAAGCTAGATGTTCCAATGGCCATTGTGGGAAGCCGTGGAGGCCAACACCATATGATTCGGGCAGACGCCGGCCTCTGGATGAGTCAAACTAAACAAGGATAGATCAATGTCCAATGGTAGTGCTGGTGCAGGAATGATTCTGAGGGATCATGAGGGTGCCACCCTCTTCAGTTCTTGCTGGCATCTCCATACATGGGATGATACCTTGGAGTCTGAAATTTTGACCCTCAAGGAAGGTATTTCATTAGCCTAAGAGTGAAGTAATCTGCCAATTGACACGGGGTCGGATTGCTTGAAGGCTGTCTCAATGATGCAGAGTGAAGAAATCAACATGTCTAAATATGCGTTCATGATTAGTGAGATCAAACGTAGTATGGGGGAACATAATTCTTGTATTACTCATATTCATCCTATCGATAATATGAGTAGCCACTTTATGGCTAACTTTGATAGATTGCAAGGCCAGACTGCTTTTTGGCTAGGATTGTAATGAAGGTCCTAAATATTTTCGAAAGAGAATGTAATTCTTAAATGTCTTGAGTAATACAAGTTTTATTTCATAAAAAGAGCTCATGTGCAGTAGTAGGAGGAGGAACAGGAGGAGCCTTCAGCGACGCTACCCGCAGTCGTGCACGACGGAGTCTCATCGCTACGTACACAACAAAAGAACACATGTGACAACTAAGAAAAAAACACATGTGACGCCATGCTAGTCAACGTTCTGTCCTATGAAGGGGATTACGAGCACGTGCAGAGCAGGTACTGGGAGCGACACCAAATTAGGGACTTTAATCGATCTGTTCGGAACAAATTGGCCGGTTTTCTGTCCCTATCTATAATAACTAATTAGTTCATCCACACTAATTTATTTCTCATGACATGCAACCTATCCACCTCAGCAAACTGCCACACCAGCCATTATTTTCCCTTTTAACCAATTTTATCGGCATGTTATGTGTATGGGATGTTCGCGTACACCTACCATGTAGGAAAGCCTACGCTTTCTCAAATGTTAACCTCTTCCGCAGTTAACAAATCTGAGTGCATGCTGCGTCACCCGTGATGCACATAGTAGACCCACTAATATATATTCCTATTTCCATTGCTCTATCAGCCGTGCGTAGCTTCTATTAATCCTCTTTCAACAACTGCTCAGCTCAATTTGTGCTATATAAACAACAAGATGGAGGCTACACTTTCAGATTGAACTAGGAAGAACACATACACAAGACAGTAGTATACCAGCGCCAAACTGCAGCAAGCGATCGAAGAGGAAGAAAACGATGGCTGGTGAAGGAGATCTGCAGCTACTGGGCGGGTTGGTGAGTCCATTCACACTCCGGGTACGCATGGCGCTGCACGTCAAGGGTGTGAGCTACGAGTACCTCGAGCAGGACCTATGGGACAAGAGCGAGCTCCTCCTCGCGTCTAACCCGGTGCACAAAAAGGTCCCGGTGCTCATCCACGCCGGTAAGCCCATCTGCGAGTCGGTCGCCATCGTGCAGTACGTCGACGAGGTCTGGGCGAGCGCCCCCTCGCTCCTCCCCGCCGACCCCTACGACCGTGCCGTCACTCGCTTCTGGGCCGCCTATGTCGACGACAAGCTGTTCCCTGCCTGGCTAGCCATCCTGCGCGCCGCGACAGAGGAGGAGAGAGCGCAAAAGCTCGCCGCCACGCTCGCGGTGCTTGCGCCCATGGAGGAGGCATTCTCCGCCTGCTCGGCCTTCTCATCCGGTGGCGACTCCATCGGGTACTTCGACCTCGCGCTCGGGTGCCAGCTCTTCTGGCTCGACGCGCTGAGGGAGATGTTCGACGTGATGGTCATCGACGATGGCAGGACCCCGCCCTTAGCCGCGTGGACCGAGAGGTTCCTGGAGACGGAGGCGGCCAAGATGGTGAAGCCGCCCATGAGCAGCATGCTGGAGTACGCCGGGCAGCTGCGAGAAAATCGGATATTTGCCACTTTGAATACGGGGCTTCTCCAAATTGCCACTCCCAAGATTGTCTTCGCAGAATTGCCATCCAGCTCATCGGCTCCTTGATTACCATGCCATTTCTCTCCTTTCATCGATTTCTTTGTCTGTTTTACATTTATAAACATCGGAAAGTACCAGACTACCCCTGAGACAAAGGTACGTAACTGGGCATCCAATCGGCACTCAGTTTTGCTAGAACTCATCTAAATGAGATATAGTTTGGTCTCATTCACCTTTTATAGCCATTGAATGTGATGTTATAAGATGCGTGTGTGCTGACGTGGGTTGTATCTGTTTTTATTTTCAAGATGAATAAGACCAAATTATATCTCATCTAAATGAGTTCTAGGCACTCCCATCGGCACTTGAAGCGGGACGAGAGGGCGCTGCCAGCCATGGATATCGTGCGTGCCGCATCGCCAATTCCCTGGACGCCGCGTGCCCACGATTTCCTGGACACCGGAAAGCAGCGAGCCGCCGATCTCCTCGATGACACGTGCTGCGGATAGGATGAACTCGCCATGTGCCGCCGATCGCCTCAACGCGGCGTGCCGCTGATCGCATGAACACCGTGTGCCGCCGATCACCTAGACGCTGTGTGCTATGTATGCCTGGGCATGTGGCCGAATCTTTCTGGGCGGTATTATGCCTTTCGCTTGCTTTGTGTGCAAAAATCTACGGCGACCGATCTCTCTTTGCCAGCTCGTCAACAACGCTCTGCGTGCTCTGGACTGTGGTTCACCGTTCACGACGTATCAGCGGAGAAGATGTCGTCGGCCGGTAGTAGTTCACTACTTGCATGAATCTAACAAAACACAGTAACTCTGTTTCTCTACTGAACCTTGGATAAATTTCTCTTCCAGAAGACCACAGTGTCCGTGCACCGGCCAGTCTTCCAGACAAAATCTTATCGGCCGATGGCAGCTCCTCGGTGGCGACATGCCCATCTCCCTCCGCCTCCTCCCGTCCTCACGAGACGCGCCATCCCTCGTCATCCCAGTTGAGCGGCCCGGCAACCCGGACGGGTGGCGCAAGCGGCGAGCAGGGGACGGGCTGAGCGGCTATGGCACGCGGGAGGCAGGGCGAGCGGCGACGGCGGCCGGGGAAAGTGAGCAGCCAGCGGTCTAGTGGCGCGAGCTGCAACGGCGACCGGACGGGCGACGCTAGCAAGCGCTCTTACAGACAACGAGTAATTTTGCGGCTCAGTCGTTTCTTCTCGGTCGAGAACCAGATGCATAATCAGATGGAATACCCATGTTTGTGTACTTAGCCTTAGGGGTAGTTTGGTATTTTATGTTGCCTATGAATGGAAAATTAAAGAGAAATCCAGTTAAAGGAGAGAAATGGCATGGTAATCAAGGCGTCAACAGGCTGAATGGCAATTTTGCAAAGCCAATCTTGAAAGTGGCAATTTTGAAAAGCCCTACATTCGAAGTGGCAAATATCCAATTTTCTCGGCAGCTGCGGGCTCGCTGGGCTGCTGATGATACCGCGGCCGCCAAGTACGTGGGTCGGTGGAGCTTCTTGTGGTCGACCCACGTGTGAGATATGGCCAATGGTGTTGTTTTTTAAGCATGCAATCGCGTGTCGTCAGTTTATTTTGTTTGCTTTCTAACATCATCGTCTTTCGTCAGTCTTCTTAGTTGTGTGTGTGAGAGACCCATTTCATCACGCCTGTCCGGTATGCAATAAATGGTCATTTGTATTGGTAGAGCTGTACAAATACAACCATACACTGGCAGAAGCGGTGGGCCAAGCGACTATTCCAACCAAAACATGTTTATGTTAGAACTATTTTTGATGTTTTGTATCTGCATATTTGTTTTAGGTTTTGCATATAGGGTAGATGGTCTAGAGTAGCTAGTCCGGTGTTGCTTTGACGAAGGCGTACTAAGAAGGCGAGATGCTGAACTGCCGTGAGATGCGGCGAGCACGGCGAGATGCCAACAGCAGTGTGAAGCTGCGGTGCTGCGTGAGGCAGCAAAGTCGTGTGGTGCGACAAGAGCATGGACGGCAAAGCGAACCGGCTGGTTGGATGGATTAGTTAAATGCATGCAAGTGGTTAGCCAGCTTCGTGGGTAAGTAGCACTACCAGAATAAACCCCTATGCCTACGGCCTAGGGCGTAGCATAGCCCTGATTCCCGTCGGGATAGGCCTATGCCGATGGTCCCCGTAGGCATAGGGCCGTCGGCATAATATACGTCGGCGTATCTCGGGATGCCGTCGGCATAGAAAAGCCGTCGGCATAGATGATTTACCGACGGTGTCCATATATCTATGCCGATGGCCAGGGCCGTCGGCAACATTCCACGCTAACGGTGACCGCCGTCAAGTGCTGCCCATAGAGGAGACGCCACGTGGCAGGGCTATGCCTATGGCGTAGCCGTCGGCATAGATTTGAAACTATGCCTACGGCTAGGCCGTAGGCATAGCCCTGCCACGTGGCGGCGTCCACTAGCTCCGTGGGCACGGCTATGCCTACGGCGTAGCCGTCGGCATAGATTTGAAACTCTGCCTACGGCTAGGCCATAGGCATAGCCCTGCCACGTGGTGGCGTCTACTAGCTTCATGGGCACGGCTATGCCTACAGCTTGGCTGTCAGCATATATCTAAAACTATGCCTACGGCTATGCCATAGGCATAGGTGCCAGGCTATGCCGACGGCCTAACTGTAGGCATAGTTTAGATATATGCCGACGGCCTAACTGTAGGCATAGGCTCCATGTGTCGTCCTCTGGTAGCTCATGGTAACCCTATGCCTACGGCTAAGTCGTAGGCATAGTTTCCGTCTGATTTTTTTCTTTTTTCTGTTTGATTTCAATTCAAACTCACATGATATATATATATATATGATGAAATAGACATACACAACATATATAAGTATCATCCTCACAACAAACACCATCACAACAATATAAGTATCATGACAAACATAATCATCATCACAAACATAAGCATCTAAAGAAGCACACAAGTCATCTAAAAGACCACAAGTCATCTAAAAGACCATAAAAGACCGCAAGTCATCTAAAGAACACAAGTTTATGATCACCACCACCGTCACCCAAAGGCTTAAGTGCCAGGACATCCACCACCACCGCCAAGGTCATCACCGCCAAGTCCGCCGAAGCCTAGGTCATCACTGCTAGCGGCAGTGCTACCGCCAAGACCGCCGCCGCCTCCGTGGATAGGAGTGACCGGGCTCCGTGACTCGGGAGTGATGCCAAGACCAGCACCACCACCAACGGTAGATCCACCAGTTCCCTGGATGTTGAAAAGACATGTTAAGGGGATATATGATTGTGTTGAATAAACAGTATGCTTTGGGTGAATAGTCTGAGATGTACTAACCGGCGAGGGGCCAGGGTTCTCTGTCAGAAACTCCTCAAAAGTAAGAAGCACTGGTTGTGGTGGAGGAGATGGTGCTGGTTGCAATTGAGGAACCCTGCCGGCCGCCATTTCCTCAAGGAAGTGTTGCAACATGCGATCCCTCTGCTGATGGTATGCATGAAGGCTCTCGTGCCACACCATGGTCTCCTGATGTGTGTACTCCATGTAGGCCTATGGTATGACATGATGGAACTCACAAAACATCTCAATGCGGAAAATAAAGTGAGCAATGAAGATAAGAGGGAAAATACTTACAGAGTTCCGCTCAGCAATGAGGGACTGTGACTGCGCACTGGTCATGGACGTGCTCGTGCGCTGGCGCAGGCTCGGGTTGGTAGCTCGGAGCTGTGTGTAGGAGATAGAAGGAATGATCACAGCATCCAGAAACGGCGACCGACCGCCCTCTCGTCCAGATCCGCCGCAATGGGGTCAGGTGTGCCAGGATGTAAACTCGGATACTGTCGTGGAATTGTCACGTCAGATGTCCTCGTGAAAGGACTTAGTTGTGGAGCCATCGCAACTAGGAAGCTTGAAGGGGTTAGTCGGGACAAAGGACACGAGAGATTTATACTAGTTCGGCCCCTTACGGTGAAGGTAAAGCCTACGTCTAGTTGGGTTGGTATTGATTGATGTTTCGATGACCAGGGAGCGAGATACGCTATGCCCGGCTCTCGATGAGTTGTTTCTTACCCTAAGCCGCCGGTGGGTCGTCCCCTTATATACACGGGTTGACGCCCTGCGGCTTACAGAGTCACAGCCGGCTTATAAACAGTGTCCGGCTCGATGACTAGTTAAATCTACCTTACGATACAAGTCATGCCATTATGGCGGTTTACTACGACGGGCCTTAAGTCGCCTGTGGGCCTTAGACCCTTTACTGAACCACCATCTTCATGCTTGGTCTTGGGCTTCTTTCTGGTGAGTCTTCTTGGCGTAACCCGGCCCCTCTTGGGCGGCTTACACAAATAGTTATATCTCCAACATTAGGCCCCAGGTTGATTTGAACCGGTTCATGTCAATCTTAAAATACCTTAAGAAATAAATCTTCAGTCTTCTGCCTGTGCAAAAGGTTTTCCTTAACCCGTCATGACGTCATCTTTTGGATCCGCATTAACCCGCCGTGATGTCATCTTTACTTAAATTCATTTTTTATTCCACCGTATCCTCCAACGGATCTTTGCTTTTACTGACTGTTCTGAAAACCGAGGCATCGGGGCCGCTGGATAATAATGCTTATCTCCTCGTTTCTCGCGCCTTCTCAGTCAGCCCTTCCTTATAAATAGGCACGACCTAGGTCTTCTCCATTCTCCCCCTTCGGTCGTCTTCTTCCTCTCACTGTCCCTTTGCCGCTCGAGCTCCGCCGCCGCCGCCTTCACAGATCTCCTCGTCCTCACCAACTCAGGCTGCTGCATCAACCTGATTTGACCAGAGAAACGCATCGAACCTCCACAGCAGACTGCATCTGTAAGTTTCTTCTTGTTCCTCAGATCCGCATTAGGCCCTCAAGCTCTTTGGTGTTCTTCGCTGTTCGTCAGCCCCCCTCGTAGATTTCATCACCACCGCCGTTTTTTCGATCTTGAAGATGGTATAAACCTGATGCGGTAGTTATTTCGCACCTATTTCAAACACATATAGGTCCCTTTCCATCGCACAGAGGCCCCGTTCGAACCCTTGA